CAATTTTTTCACGGACTGTAGGTGGGGGGATAGTTTTCGGTCACGTGCATAACAACGCACAATAAACATAAGCCAGATAGTCAATAAAATGTAAAAAAAAAAAAAAAAAGGTTGTATTCTTTCTGCGCGGTCTGGTACGAAATGGTCCACGGACCCGTACGGAATGGTTTAGGGCCCGGTGCCCAATTATCCATGGCCCGGTAACAAATCTTCCACAGCCAGTTACCAAATGGTTTATGGCCCAATACGAAATGGCCCACGGTCAGATAGAAAATAATCCGCGGAAAGGTACGAAATTACCCACGGCCCTGTATGAAATGGTACACGGCCCCGTACGAAATGGTCTGTGGTCAGGTATCAAATGACCCACGGTAAGGTACGAAATGGCCCACGGTTCCGTAGGCAATGGTCCACGTCCCGGTTATAAAATGGTCCACGGCCAATTATCAAATATTGCACGGCCCGGTTGAAATGGTCCGTGGTCAGGTACCAAATGATCTACGGCAAGGTACGAAATGGCCTACGGTCCCGTACATAATGGTCTACAACCGGGTTACCAAATGGTCGACGGCCCGGTACAAAACGGTCCGCGGCCTGGTACTAAATGGTCCATGGACCGGTAACGGCCCGTTGTCCGATGGTTAGGGACCGTTGTCATAGAGGATTAACACAAGATTCTTTGTGTTCTGTGGGATTCGAAAGGAATTATTTTTTTGTTCATGCCAGACCATGAGAACCTGGGATCGAATCCCACCATTGTCGTTTGTCAAGGAGGCAAGATATCGCACAGGGGAGTCTATTCCAGCGTGCGGCACCGTTTGCTATTGCCTGGAAACCAATCCACATGTTGACCCAGGCCTTGTGACGGAAATTGTGACAGCACGAAGTTACAAGTCATCCCTATCAAGGGTTTGAGCATAGGGGCCTTATTCAACTCCGTCAGAGGATGCGTTTTCTCCAGAAGCTGCAACTATAAGATCTGCTCTACATAGATGCAGTATAAGCCACAGGTTGGATCTCTGAGGGTTAAAGTAAAATGAAGCGGTTGTCGTGTTGATTAATGAAAATATGTGCTGATTAATGGAAAACACAAAACTTGAATCTTTCATATTTAACATTACATTACATCAGTTACAGTGTGTGTGTGTGTGTGTGTGTGTGTGTGTGTGTGTGTGTGTGTGTGTGTGTGTGTGTGTGTGTAAGAGGCTCCGTCCCCCTGTTCTAATATGTTGATTTGATATTCTCGTTCGGGATGTCTGAGAGACTAGCCAGCATATCTCTGAAGCATTTGAGACGTAGAGATTTCGCTTAGTTGGCAAATGGGTTCGCTCTCACGCCCACACGCTTCGAGACAGCTTCGCGTGTTCCGTGACGACCGGGTGAGCGTTGCAACGCCACGCTGCGTCGCGCTACCGTCGTATGGACGGCTAGCTCCGTAACCTGTTCAATTTCGACCGCAGTCGTTTCTAGTCTTGTTAATCCCACCCTTGCAAATTCGACAACCGGGGAGTAACTTCAGACAAACTCTGCACCTGCTTTCCTTGGTTTGGTGTGAAAGCGAGGGCAGAGCTTATTCCAGTATAATGCGCTTGAGGAGGCGTCTGCAACAGGGATTAGTAACTCACCCCTAGATGGGTGTGTTTGGAAACTGGCAGCCATCCATTATTTGAAAAAGAAAAATCTTTAAATTGCAAAGTAACAGAGGAAAGTGATCATAGAACTGGGGTTGGTCTTTATCCCGCATGTGTCTTATCCTCCAGATCTGGCGCCTTCAATTTTACTAGGTTTCATCCAAACCAAGGCTATAGAGCCAGTCAAGATAGAAATTTACTGTTAAAATGATTATGATAAATGAAGTGTGTGATATTGGTTGGTTGATTTTGTTTAGTGGCGTATCAACCTCTGTGGGTTATTTAATGCCGAAATATAAATATTTTGAATACTATCTTATGGCTTCAACTAAATATATTTTGAACGCAACTGTAGGCTTTCAACTACAGATAAAATATATTGTTGTTAATTCTACTGTAAAATGAACTGCGGGTCAGTTTGCTATACTCGTGTATTTTTGATAATTTTACGATAAATATTGTTGGTAATATGTTTAATGTGTAAAAAGTTTGGTTTGGTTGATTTTGTTTAGCGGCATATCAACCTCTATGTGTTATTTAATGCCGAAATCTAAATATTTTGAACACTATCTTATGGGTTCAACTACAGATAAAATGTATTAGTCATTTGTCTATAAAATGTATTGTTGGTAATTCTAGTATAAAATGCATTGCTGGTCATTTTGATTAAATTGAATTGTTGGTAATTTTACTATAAATATTCATTGTTGATAAATTTATTTTATAAAAATGTATTGCTAGCATCTTCACCATAAAAAGTTTTATGATTTCCTTTTTTTTTTTTTTTGGTGATTCACAATTTGCCCATAGCTGGGACCCTAACAGGTGCTACCACTACAGACCAAGTTTCATCTGGGAACAACAGCAATTGAGACGTGCTTCCACGCTCCTCGAAATTCCCATCTCGGTGTAAACAACATGGCGTGTTCTAGCTGTAATTTAGCTAAATTGGTGGACATAAAAAATGTTTCTCATCTGAACATTACGATCACATAATACGTTTCGAAAGCCGTAAAAACAAATCAATTCAGAAATTAGATAATATTCTGGGGAAACGGTACTGCTTGCGGTACCGTTAAGATGAGCCCTAACACGAATCTAGTGAATAAAATTATATAGACAGAACTGTTCAGTGGTGGAATTATTCGGTTGTGCTGCCCCAAAATCAAAAGTCATCGTCACCGAAGCTTTGAGTACATATTGTTTATTCATGTTGTCTTTTTCCAGACACACACACACACGCACATATATATATATATATATATATATATATATATTCATTCCAATGTGAATACTATGGTTTATTTTCTTTGGGGTAAATGGTTGCTTGGTAAACAAAATTCAAAGCTCTACATTTTCCTTCGACTGGACGATGTTCGCTCTTTCTATAATTACAGGAGGGGATCCATACCAAGTTTATTGTTGATACCCTGGTAATCGCGAACGAGAAGTGACAAGCGTACGACGTTGCATCTATGGGAAAGAGATAGGGGGCGGTAGAAAATAAGTCGTGCAAACTATTCTAAACGCTATCCAGGCTGGAAAGTGAGGTTTTTGTAAACCCAGTCTAGTAGGAATAATTTTCTTTAATCTGACTTTTTTCTAAAAATCAAACATAACAGAAGCCAGATACTTTCTGGAACGATAGAAAGAACTTAACATTTCTTAAGCATTTTTACCAATGGGTATATGCTCTATAGCCTTGGTGGGGGTGATCTTGGGCGACAGTGTCGATTTAATAATAACTTTGCATTCTTCTTTCACAGCCGGTGATCGGCAGTCGTGTTTCTAACTATCCAGTGGGGTCGCTCTCGCATCCCACTGGGGAGCAGATCCATACACAACAGAGAACAAGTTTATATTGTTCGACAGTTAAGACCCAACTCCCTGAAAAAAACCTTTCCCTATCTATGGTTCCCACGCTGGTTCAGCAAATCAAAATCGACTTCCTTTATTTTGTCTTCTACCTGACCTCAAATGTCAAATTGAAGAAGTCAGAGGAGAAATACTCTTCTCTAAAAAATAATAGTCAACTAAATTATTATTTAACATATGAGTTCCGCTTGACGCCTGATTGATTGACAGATTGATAGAATTTTTTTTGTTTTTTACGACTTATCAACCTCCTTCAAATAATTTAAAAACGGGACGTATTTTGGAATTGTAATAATTTATTTGAGATAATAATGATTTTCCGATGCAAGTCCTACTATTTAACCCATATCCGGGGAAGAAGAGGTAGATTCATACCGCTCCTAATGCTATTTGCGCTTTGTGAATATAATGAATACGACCGGGAATCGAACTCGGCCACCTGATATCATTTATAGTCGTCATCTATTATACCAACCGCACATCCACGCTTACGGCCAGGGTGTTCCCAAATGGTTACCCATTTAGGAGTAGACTAGACCCGACCTTGCTTAACTTCGGTGATCGTACGACAACCGTTGTTTCGACGTGATATGGACGTAAGCAACTTGGGGACTGGGGTGAACTTGAAACCCAAAATATGGTCAAAATATGGAGCCTCATTAAGAAGGCAATCTTGATATTGATATCTAAGATAAGTGTTATTATTCTATTAACTAATCTGTCTAGTATTCTCATTTACCATCCTTTTCGATCCTCACTAAGTGCCCCACACTTTCGTCCTTGTGCCACATCTAAGCTACGTTTAGAAAAAAAAACATTGTGAGGCACTTCCGCGTGGTCTGATGTTTAGCAAGCTTGTCTCGCTAGATCAATTACGGCTGAGTAGTGAGTTCGATATTCACTGGGATCTCCATACTTTCGGCTTGTGCCACATCTAAGCTGCGCTTAGAAAATCATTCTTTTTGGCCCTTTCGACGTGGTGTAATGTTTAGCAAGTTTGTCTCGTAAGATCAATTACAACTGAATAGCGTGTGCGATCCTCAATGGGTGCTCCATACTTTCGAGCTTGTGCGACGTCTAAGTTACGCTTGGATAATCACAATCACTCCTCGGCCTTTTTGGTTGGGAAGTTCAAATAATTTTAAGACCAAGTCCCAGGCAGTAACTCTCCTTCGGAAAGAGTCTGGATGTATTGCTCAGCGCCTGAGGCGTCCACAAAAGAGGAAGTGCCGAGAGGTCTTGGACAATATTTCCATGGTATTGTCCACTTTAAACCTCGGCCTTTTGTCACATTTAGCAATGACGTGGAAGTGCTAAAAATTACCCTCATTTACTTTCCGTTCCTTTTTTTGCGTGAAGCCCAGACATAATAGCAATACTCCAATGCTGGTCTAATCTGACTCTTGTAAAGCAAAGCATAAGGACCGTCGGATCGCGTGCAGAGAGTCACCACGAAGTTCTTAGACTTAGAGCTTTTTCGGTTTGACCGCTTACCAACGCTACGCGACTGACAGCCTCGAAGACTTCAGCCACATGCCGAGGACGGCCTGCGCGCACGAAGACAGTCGGTTTGCGCGCAGAGAATAGCTACACTGTTCTTAGACTTAGAGCTTTTTCGGTTTGACCGCTTACCAACGCTACGCGACTGACAGCCTCGAAGACGACCGCCACATGCCGAGGACGGCCTGCGCGCACGAAGACAGTCGGTTTGCGCGCAGAAAATCGCTACACTGTTCTTAGACTTAGAGCTTTTTCGGTTTGACCGCTTACCAACGCTACGCGACTGACAGCCTCGAAGACGACCGCCACATGCCGAGGACGGCCTGCGCACACGAAGACAGTCGGTTTGCGCGCAGAGAATAGCTACACTGTTCTTAGACTTAGAGCTTTTTCGGTTTGACCGCTTACCAACGCTACGCGACTGACAGCCTCGAAGACGACCGCCACATGCCGAGGACGGCCTGCGCACACGAAGACAGTCGGTTTGCGCGCAGAAAATCGCTACACTGTTCTTAGACTTAGAGCTTTTTCGGTTTGACCGCTTACCAACGCTACGCGACTGACAGCCTGAAGACGACCGCCACATGCCGAGGACGGCCTGCGCGCACGAAGACAGTCGGTTTGCGCAGAAAATCGCTACACTGTTCTTAGACTTAGAGCTTTTTCGGTTTGACCTGCTACGCGACTGACAGCCTCGAAGACGACCGCCACATTCCGAGGACGGCCTGCGCGCACGAAGACAGTCGGTTTGCGCGCAGAAAATCGCTACACTGTTCTTAGACTTAGAGCTTTCGGTTTGACCGCTTACCAACGCTACGCGACTGACAGCCTCGAAGACGACCGCCACATGCCGAGGACGGCCTGCGCGCACGAAGACAGTCGGTTTGCGCGCAGAAAATCGCTACACTGTTCTTAGACTTAGAGCTTTTTCGGTTTGACCGCTTACCAACGCTACGCGACTAAACAGCCTCGAAGACGACCGCCACATGCCGAGGACGGCCTGCGCACACGAAGACAGTCGGTTTGCGCGCAGAGAATAGCTACACTGTTCTTAGACTTAGAGCTTTTTCGGTTTGACCGCTTACCAACGCTACGCGACTGACAGCCTCGAAGACGACCGCCACATTCCGAGGACGGCCTGCGCGCACGAAGACAGTCGGTTTGCGCGTAGAAAATCGCTACACTGTTCTTAGACTTAGAGCTTTTTCGGTTTGACCGCTTACCAACGCTACGCGACTGACAGCCTCGAAGACGACCGCCACATGCCGAGGACGGCCTGCGCGCACGAAGACAGTCGGTTTGCGCGCAGAAAATCGCTACACTGTTCTTAGACTTAGAGCTTTTCGGTTTGACCGCTTACCAACGCTACGCGACTGACAGCCCTCGAAGACGACCGCCACATGCCGAGGACGGCCTGCGCACACGAAGACAGTCGGTTTTGCGCGCAGAGAATAGCTACACTGTTCTTAGACTTAGAGCTTTTTCGGTTTGACCGCTTACCAACGCTACGCGACTGACAGCCCTCGAAGACGACCGCCACATGCCGAGGACGGCCTGCGCACACGAAGACAGTCGGTTTGCGCGCAGAAAATCGCTACACTGTTCTTAGACTTAGAGCTTTTCGGTTTGACCGCTTACCAACGCTACGCGACTGACAGCCTGAAGACGACCGCCACATGCCGAGGACGGCCTGCGCACGAAGACCGGTTTGCGTGCAGAAAAATCGCTACACTGTTCTTAGACTTAGAGTTTTTCGGTTTGACCGCTTACCAACGCTGCGACTGACAGCCTCGAAGACGACCGCCACATTTCCGAGTTTGCCTGCGCGCACGAAGACAGTCGGTTTGCGCGCAGAAAATCGCTACACTGTTCTTAGACTTAGAGCTTTTCGGTTTGACCGCTTACCAACGCTACGCGACTGACAGCCTCGAAGACGACCGCCACATGCCGAGGACGGCCTGCGCACACGAAGACAGTCGGTTTGCGCGCAGAGAATAGCTACACTGTTCTTAGACTTAGAGCTTTTTTCGGTTTGACTGCTTACCAACGCTACGCGACTGACAGCCCTCGAAGACGACCGCCACATGCCGAGGGACGGCCTGCGCGCACGAAGACAGTCGGTTTGCGCGCAGAGAATCGCTACACTGTTCCTTAGAGCTTTTTTCGGTTTGACCAGCTACCAACGCTACGCGACCTGACAGCCTCGAAGACGACCGCCACATGCCGAGGACGGCCTGCGCGAACGAAGACAGTCGGTTTGCGCGCAGAAAATCGCTACACTGTTCTTAGACTTAGAGCTTTTTCGGTTTGACCGCTTACCAACACTACGCGACTGACGGCCTCGTAGACGACCGCCACACGCCGAGGACGGCCTGCGCGCAATCGGATTAGGTACACTATATAGAGATAGAATGAATCGACGATTGTTCCGACATCTTTAGCAATGAATTGTATGCAACACCCTTTCTCTTGTCAAAAGTTCCAACAAGTCCAGAATATAAAAGAAATATTTGAATAAACGTAAGGAACGTTATTTTATCCCTGAATTCACAATATGTCTGCATGTTGACACAGGGTCATAGATAGCGAGAGACAATACTTCGATGTCTCTGTAACTATGCTATGGATATCTTTTAATAAAAGATTTTAGCAAAATGTTGGCAACCTTTGCATCAACACCATACACAGCTCTTCGCATACCAATATACAAGTCAATAGGTAAAAATTAGAGCAGAACGATGTTGTTTGCTTAACCAGATGCCGTTAGAGGTCACCTTCACACACGGAGATATAACAGATACGAACCCCAAACTCAGCTGTATATGCAAAAATCACTGTCAAAGAAGCCGAAGTGAATTTCCTCATCTGTTTCTCTCTAGATTGGCCCAATGAACAAACACATAACATGTGCTTTTTCTGTACATTGTATATACACTGGATATTGGTTTTCTGCGTCACGGCGACACACGAAAGAAGAATACAAGTGACAAGCATCATTAGGGCGCCATCAATCAATCAGGAACAGATTTAAAATACCAAAAACCCTCTTAATCTCTCATCAACAAGACGACTGCCACTGAACCACTTTAATAAATAATAAATCTTGGTTTACTTAATTTTCTCTATCTTTTTACTCTGGACACATTAATCATGATTTGAATTCCATTAATATTTTATTTTAATTAAGACAAGTGGTCGAATTTGTGACATACGGAAATTAGTACTTCTACTATGTGCCGTGTCCCTTCAGGACGTTAGTGATCATGGCTCTCCACAATTTCCCGTTCTTTGTAGCTTAATAATTTTTTTGTCTTTTTGTTATCTCTCTTAAACAGTATTCTGTCATCCATTTGCACAAGTTCACCAGGTAGGTTATTTGCTACTGCTCTCAATCTTTTCTGTGAGTATCAAATTTTCCAAGCTTTCTTTCCTCATTATGTGCCCTAGAAATTTCAACAGTATCTTTTTGATGTTAAGTATAAGTGTCTTTTTGTTTCCATTTTCTCTAAAACTTCATCGTTGCTAATATGTTCGGTTTATTTTATTCTCAGCATCCTTCTGTAGAACAATATTTCTGTTACGTTCTTCAGCGTTGTGGAGATTGTCCAGCATTCACTGCCACAGAGAAGGACTAGTATTAAGTAGCAGTTCAGTCAGCCTTGGCACAGAAAGCATTAACGGAGCGACAACGTAGACCGGGCCCGGATAATAACCACACTGATCGAGCTGTTTATGATATCTTAAAACGTAACCAGGGTTGATAAGGCTACGAGAAGAGAATTCCTAAGTATTGCTTCCACATGCTTGTCAGGAATTTTACTTGATTATCACCTTGCTTACACTATTTACATTCGGACTGTTGCCCTCAACTTTGTTGTTTTTGTTTCAGCCGTTGCACCCTCCGGCCTTCCTCAGGTGTATATCGTTCTGGAAATTTTGAACTGAGTCCTTTATATAATCTACGGGAGTAGACTATTTTCGTTCCATTGTCAATCTCTAGGGATATCTACCCCCCATTCTTATTCTTTTATTGCGCGCCCGTTACCACTGAGTCCAAGTACACACAGACCGGTTCAATTTCATTTTTTTCTAAAGACATTTTCTTGTTTCTTAATACGTTGCTTAGCTTTTGGAAGGCATCTTTCGCTATCCCAATGCGCTTTGTTTTTGTTTTTGTTTTTTGTTTTTTTTGCCGCACTTTCCGTAAGACTTAACCAAATCAGATTGATAGCATATTAAATAAACATAATATAAAAATAATAATTTTTCTTTCTTCACATGAATAATTCACCTCTTTTTCGTTTTTTTTTTATTGTAAATATGCAATAATATATTTTCGTTTATAATGATAATATTATTGTCAAATGATTAGAACATTAGCTTTATGAAGTTAAGGAACGTTAAGCCTCGTTATTACCTAGACTGGGTGACCGCTTGTGAATACCAGGGGTTTTAAGCTTGGGTGTGCGAGTGGTGTAATGGATAACGGCTCAAAAATTTGAGAGTCGAGTTCAAATTTCAGTCAGCTTCGTTATATTCACTTGCACGCAAATACTCTTGGGAAAGGTATCAAACCACATCTTTCCCTCCCAGCTATGGATTAAATTGCAGAACTTCTATCAGAAATTGATCATTATCACAAAAGATTCTTACGATCCCATGATGCGTTTCGGCTTGAAGGAAATTTCGAAAGGTTGATAAACCGTAAAAACAAATCAATTCAGAAATTAGATAATATTCTGGGTAAATGGTACTGTTTGCGGTACCGTTAAAATGAGCCATAACCCAAATCTACTTAATAAAATTATATATACAGAACTGTTCAATTGCAGAATTGTTCGGTTGCGCTAGCGCAAAATCAAAAGTCATCGTGACCGAGGGCTTTGAGTACATATTGATTTTCATATTGTCTTTTCCAGATAATTTTTTTGTTTATAATATGAATTTTACACACACACACACACACACACACACACACACACACACACACATATATATATATATATATATATATATATGGCATTCTGAGGCAGAGAAAGAAAGAAAAAGAAAGGAAGGCAGAAAGAAAGGCGAGACGAATCATGGGTGATAAAACAGCCACACACATGGCCTAAGAGACAATTAAAATATTGATAAGTAACAAGTGAAAAAGTGTGTCATTACAATGACAGGGAATTTCTGAGTAAAAAAAGAAAAGAAAGAAGCAACCAGATGTGTTTTGATAACGGCTATGTTATCTAGGTGCGTACACGAATGGCTGGACCACTGCCCAGGGAAAATTCAAGTGAAAATGCTATTTCGATAAGTGACGAGAAACAGGACACTAAAAAGGACTTTGGAGAGATATGAAAATTAAATGCCACCCAGGCAGTGCAGCTGACTGAATTATTTATAATAATGAAATTATGTTATCAGACATATGTACCGAAGGAAAATGAATGGGAACCAGAAGTGTTTTTATTTCTTCCTTGGAGGCGACAGACTGGCTGAAAATTTTGGGGGTATTTCTTTTCTGAACCCATGTTACGAAAACCAACCATCTCGATAAATTAGCGATAAACTACCTGACAAACACCACGTGTAAAACAAGAGATGTCATATTGTCCGTTCGTGGCTAGAGAAATGATAACGGCGATTTGAAAGGAAGAAAAAGGAAAGAGAAGAGATAATTATTTTATTTTTTTTAGTTAAGCAAGGTATTTTTTTCCCTAAACAAAGCCGCGGATTGTTCACGCTCTACTAAGACATCATTGGTCAGGTGGTGATCACGTGACGCACAAAGGAGGAGGAAAGATACCCGACCAAGACCTCATTGGCCGAGAGTGATCACGTGACGCACGAAGAAGGCTGCCAACGCCCCATCCAGAGTATAAGTATGAGAAGCTTCTACGAAGAAATGGGGAGGGTAGTTCACGCCCCTCAGAGGTATGGTGAGAAAGTGGGAGTGAGAAGGGGTTACCAAAAATGGAAAAGAGTGGAAAATCCCTAACCAGAAATAAAAGAGGTGGATATGTATTTAGAATTATCGAGAAAACCCCCCGACGCCAACAGAACCACCCCGGTTTTGGCCGGCGTCAATAAAAACGAGGCCCCAACAGGCAGAAATCAGTTCGGGCCCTGGCGGCAGAGTTGAGTTTCCAGAGTTGAAGCCCGCCTCGAGATAGCTGACCAAGATTCACGCAAAATTCGGACTCCTCTTCAACCCAAAAAGCAATTATTTTGAAGAGCGACTTAGAACCAGACCACCGAAATAAGTTTTCGACTTTCGTCCAAAGACACACCGAAACACCAATTTCTTAGAGTGCAAACAACTTGAAGCGTTAAAAAACTTGCCTAGCGGAAACGACGTGTCACAATCCACAGAACGGGTCGGGAGATAGATGCAGTCCTATGTATCGAACAACTAGACATAAAGTTTGTTACCTTTTTCTTTGATACTTTGAACTTTTTGAGTTTTCATTTTCTTTTCTTTTATGCATATTTGTGTAGTATCACCCCCGTTGAACTCAATTTGCACTACGGCCCCCAACCACTGACGATTGCATATAGCATGAAACAGACTGTCGCCTCTAAGTGTTGACTTCTATGTTCACTTTTATATTTACACACGCTCTATCTCTGATATTGAGCACTTTATCCCATAAATATAGCACACCTTAAGACTATATTTCTTTATATATATATATATATATATATATAAAAGGCAGGACGTGTGTGTGTGTGTGTGTGTGTGTGTGTGTGTGTGTGTGTGTGTGTGTGTGTAACGAATGCAAATTCGCAGTGTGAGATAGGCAAGAAGTAAAGCATGTAGCAACATCAGCACGGCAAAAGGGCACTCCTTTAAAGGCAAGGAAGGGCAAAAATATTTTAAGTCAAGTGATAACGATTGCTGTATGAGTTTACGATTTTTGAATCAAGCATGGGCAACGCCGGGCCATGCTGCTAGTATATATATATATATATATAGATAGATAGATAGATAGATAGATACCAGTGATTATAAAAATGTGAATTCTTGTATTGGAATGTCTTTATCAGAAAAGCCACATTGATATTATCAGTTGAAACTCACTTCACACCTGTTTACGATCCATATCAACACATTTTTGAAATCTTCTACAGGTGATTCAAAAAGTGTTCACACTTTTATAGGAGTACTTACTCGCTCCTACACAAGTAGAAACATAGAAATCAATACAATATTGTGACTGGCGATTTCATA